GATTGCGAGTCGAGCTCCCTAATCACCTGGCCATGCCGGGCCAACTCTGCAAGATAGCAAGAAACAACATCATGTAAAGTAAAGGTCAAGCGATTATTATATGCCATAGAATTCACTGCCGAAACAACAATATATTGAAATAAAACAAGAATCTGTTCAGCAATGTGAATTACTCGTTGATCCAGAACATAATTATTTTGCTGGATCTCCTAATGGTCTCGTGAGTGAAGATGGAGTTTTGGAAGTGAAATGCCCCGACAAAGCAACAAATAGCACCTCATAAGTAGTGGCAAGTTAATATTAATGATTTTTTGTCTGCACGTTATAAAAGAAAAAAAAATCATGTTGAAACGAAACCAGAACTATTACTATCTAGTTCAGGTTCTTTTGCATATTTCTTGTCGACTGTACCTTGACTTTGTTATCGGAATTTAAAAGGGATTCATTTTGAAGTAATATACTGAAATGATAGATTTGTAAAAATTGAGTTTCCTAAACTAAGCTGATTTTATGCAGAATGTTTACATCCAGAACTTGAAAACACTAAACTATCACGAAACATGAAGATCAGAGAACTTTTGTACATACGAAAAACTATCAAAAACGAAAACACGCTGATGCAAACAAAAAGTTTAAAAACACATTCATTTAAATAATTTAAAATATTGCAGCTTTTCACCATAATTTACGTCATAATGCAGTGTGTTTTGTGTGCTACATTTTTTTTCAGTATGTATGCTTTCATGACTGAAAAAATAATGCAAAATTTCCAAATTTTCCTTGTTTGTATGCCAAATATGCTTTTAATCAAGAATTCATCCTTTTTTGGTTGATTCTGTCAAAGTATTATTATTATTTTTATGAAAATGTACTAGTAAGTTCCGGCCAATGCATCTATTATTATGTATGAAATTAACCGTCTTCAAGATTGTTTTTAACTCTTGTTACTGAGTGAGTAAATACTTGAAATCCGTTATATGGTGTTACTTTCATAATATTGGATACAGAAAGTCAATTAGTTGATTTCAATAAATAGTGAAATGCCTCTTTATATTTCTGTACAATTATTCTTACGTGTAAACTGTAAAGAAAAAATAATTTATATATTTTAATTGTAAGCCTGTTTCGAGAAAGATGGACAATTGTTGAACAAACTTTATTCTATGTTATACAAATACGTGAACAAACATACCCGAACAACATCGTTGCTAGGCTATTGTCGAGTGAAATTATGTATTCAACACAATGTTTGTGTTTATTATCAAATTAGCTACTTGTATAAATTGTAGAAATATAATTTTGAATAATTCTGGAAAAGATTAAACAGAGAAAAACAAGTATTTCTGACTATTGACTTCATATTTTCCACACTAAATATTTAAAACTGAATAGTAATAAAGTACTTTTCTGGCCAGTGATCAGTAATTCATTATGGACTTGAATGACAACTCCATTTCCTCCATTTGTTTTTATCGCCTCGTAATTGTACATGTAAAATAATTAATTGTTATTTTAGTGGAAGTGACCCGCACACACACACATGTAACAGTACTACTCATCCATTGAGGAGCTACATGTCAGTAGGTGGTCAGTTGACTATTTATCATCAAACCGGCTAAAACTGTAATCAAAGCATATCTTCAGTACAGTATATTACCCTATAGTCTGTCATAAAATATCTTATCACGCACTATATTCACGCCCCCCTCCCCTCAGTGGCACAGCGGCATGTCTGCGGACATATACTGCTAGAAACCGGGTTTCGATACACGTGGTGGGAAGAGAACATATAGTTCTTTGTGTAGCTTTATATATCTAGAAATATTTGTAACTACTGTTTGACTACCAATGAGTCTCACAAGAACTTGGTTCAACCATTAATAACTGTCGTTTTATCAGGCTCTCGTTGATCATCGTGACATTCATATTTGAATAAATATTTAGGCATTTGCGGTTTACACAAGTTATTAGGGACTACAAAGCACGTGATTATTTTCAATTTAGTGAAATAAAACTGTGAAAAAGCATATCTTGCGAGTTAAATTACTTCAACATTTACCACATTTATATTTGTTTTATTTCAACAATATTCGTATTACACTTTTCTGCAAGTGATATCACTCACAAGTATCCATGAACATCGAAATGTGTGAAAAAACAAAACAAATATATATATTAGTAGGATCATATAAAGTATTCGATCCCGCTACTCATTTTATTCTTTCAAAGGACAGGCGTGGGTTTGTCTAGTGATTAGCTTTCCAAACTGTAAATGATTCGCATTATACTACCGAAGAAGAAAAAAAAAAAACTCCACCCTCTACAGCCTAAGCGCGTTATAAGAATGACCTTTATTTAATTATTTATTGAATTTCGCACAAAACTACTCTAAGTTTATCTGCGCTAATCATTCCCAACTTAGAAATAATATGTGTATATATATAATAGAGGGAAGGCAGCTAGTCAACACTATCTACCACCAACTCTAGGGTTACTCTTTAACCAACAAAAACAGGAATTGACTCTCACATATAATGTTCCCACGTTAAAAGGAGAAAGAGTGACATTCCACTGTTTGATCATACAGAAGTTAGTGGTGGATGCTTTTGACTAGCAGCATTCCTTTGATTTGTCAGTTTGGAATTAGGAACGACTATCGCATAGAGCTTTCGTGTAGCTTTCAGTGAGAATCCGAAAAAATATATTCGGAGTTCTGACGGATATTATTATATACTTATTTTAATATCGATGTTTGTTTAAATTTGATATACATTTAGAAATGTACATAACTTATACCGTTAAATGTGTATTGAGAAACTCCCGCCTTTTCTCTAAAGTTATAGAAGTTTCTCGAGTGTTAAGAATCAACAATATATTTACGTACGTAAGCGCTAGTGTTAGCGTCAGTATTGTTACGTAAACTGAAATTGAGAAACTTTCCACATGCCTATAAATATAAGCAATGCGCCGCGCCAAAAAAACAGTATCTATTATTGGTTTGTTATAGTTGATGTGCTATAAACTTCGGAGGCTATAACTATGATTGTTATCACGCTTATTAATCGGAAAGCTTAAGATATTTGACCAGGAACATGTATAAATTTCGAACATTACAAACCACTTAACTTCAGTGAATTCACATTGGACATTAGTACTTTTATGAAAACATAACCCAACGTCATCAGTGGAGATAAAAATCGGCGTGTGATCAGTGAAGACCACAGAGCTAGCTAGCTCCCTATTATGTGAATTATACCTACATAAACTCGAAATTAACTCGCACATCGTGAACTCTCGATAAGACATCAAGGAAGTTTCAGATGAGAAAGAAGACTTCATATTGTTTGTAAAACTCTTGTGTATAAATTATTGTTTGTAATAACTATTTGTAATAACCGTTACTGTAAATTGTATTATTGTTTGTATTTTAAAATATATTTTATTAAAAAAAGAAAACTGCGTGTATCAATTTTGTTGGCAAATATCATAAATTGGATACAGTCGGCATTTATTTAACTCCTAAATATAAATTATAATTTAACTTAATTTCGCGCTATTTGAAATTGTAACACGTAACAGAGGGGAAAAAATCGTTGTTACAGAATATCAACTTATATTTTTCAAAAAGATAATGAAAAATTGTATAACAGCTTACTCCATTTTCTCTTGTTGAGCACATTTATTTTTTAGAAAATGAAGGGCAGCTAACCACGATATAAAGAATGTGTAAACGAATCTGATTATACAAACAAACTCGCTTTTAAAACACGCAACAAACTTGCACTTGTTTCGTTTATTTCCTTATTAAAAAGAGAATTGCAAGACTGGTTACTAACTTACCTCGGTTATTGCTAGCGTTTGCGTAAACGAATGCTACTAAAACCAATATCAAGCGGATGCTCATTCTACCCATTTCTAAATACTTTGTCCTAAATGCAAAAAAAAAAAGGAATTAATAATGATAAAAAGCGCTATATAATGTGTTCATTAACAAATAACTTACAGTATAACTTTCAAATTTGTATGCTTAAAACATTAGCATACAAATCATCATCTGTGTAGTATATTAGTCTTTAGGAAAGTACTTTGAGTGTAAACATACTTATTTTTTGTCCAAAACTATTTCACATCATACTATTTCAATCACACAGGAAAAATGCTCTCAATACTTTTTAATGCAAAATTAAACTGAGTTTTGGTTTTACATTATAAGCACGTTAAAGAATATTTCGTTAATTCAAATTTTACTATTTCTTCTGATATTCACATAGTAAATTTTGTTATCAGCTAAAAACACTGTAAATATGTTGATTTTCAATATGAGGTGCAAGTTAATTGACTCGGGACTAGATTTATTCGTATTTCAAATATTCATCGTAGTAGATATTAAACCTTCATATGTTACAAATGAATATAAACTATATATGTGTATCATCTTAACGAAACTATTTCCAACATTAAAACACTTAATTTTTCAAATTTGTTTTAAAGTCTAAGCAGTACTGTTAATACGAAAAACCAATGTAAGTTGTTGAACACCTTGTATATTCTAACCATAATATAATACTGTTACGACAGCGGAAGTCACGCAACTCTGGGAGTTTCTAGAAGTCTAGGAACCCCGCAAATGTCCGAGTGTTTGCCAGGCCCCATCTATTTTAGTATATAGGCCCGGCAAATAAAGCCAGCGAGCGATAGATATGCAGATAGAAATAATTGAGTCAAGCGAACAGTAGGCACCATAAGTAAAGTGTGTGAATCACTGTAAATTATAGCGTGTGTTATAAAGGTTGTTAAGTTTAAAGTGACTGTGGGACGGGGATTCGAACTCGCGACCCACTGATTGCGAGTCGAGTGCCCTAACCACCCGGGCATGTCGGGCCTTTCCATTTACTTACTTCATTG